CAGGTGCATCGCTAGTAGTAACAAGTGCATCGCTAGTAGTAACAGGTTTGCAAGAAAGGTCGAACAAAGCAGAACACCTCGGATGCTCCCATATATCCATCTCGTTCTCGTTGCTCTTGAGGCTCTCACCTGGGCAAAATTCATGGAGAGAGCATTCCACTGAACCTGCAAAACAATCTCCATGGCCTCAAACCTAGAAGCAATGGCCTCCAACCTACTAGCAATACAATCTCCAAGACTATGGCATAGTCATTATGCCTCGATCTAGTTAGTTGAAACTCCAATGCCAGATCTCCCCAAACGCAGGCCAATAGCACAAACATACAGAAGCCGTCTCACTTTTTAAACGCAGCAGAAGACTCGATTTCACATTGAAAGGTACCCTGTACAATACCTTGATGTTCATATGCATCCGAAGCCTCTTAATGTGTCTATGCTCAATCCTCCTCACTGATGTCGCTGATGTCATCATCAATCTCACCATCTGGAACGTTCTCAGCATACCACGTTCGAACGTACTTGCGCCACTTCTGCACTTTCGTTTCCCAGGGCCTTTTGCTAAGATCTTCTTCAGGATCAGGAGTCATGGGCTGGCTGGGCTCTCTGTTTGCTCTGGGGTGAGAAGCCACGAAAGCCTTGTAGTCTGCTCTCTTCTTGTGGTTTTCGATGACTCTGTGGCGCTTCCTCCGCCTCTTCTGAATCTCCTCCTCTGTCATAACCTGCGGTGCGTTCAAGGTCACTGCAATCTAATCGTCGTCTCTGGAGGCCATCGTAGGAACAATGTTCGCTTCTAGGAACAAGTGCATCGCTACTAGTAACAAGTGCCTTACTAGTAGTAACAATGTTTGCTATTAGAATTAAGTTAAATTAAATCCCTTCTAGGTTGGAGGCCATCGCTATTAGGTTGGAGGCCACTCCTAGATCTGGAGATGCCGAAATTCAACCTAGTAGCGTCCTTGCTCCTTGTAACAATGCTCTTGGCTCCTAGTAGCTTCTTGTTACTACTAGTAAGGCACTTGTTACTACTAGCGTGGGACTTGTTTCTAGTAGCTTCTTGTTACTAGCAATTAGTATGGCCAGGAGCGCCTCTAGCGTCCTTGCTCCGGTTGCGCCAAGTCACCTTCGGTGCGTTCGAGGTCACCGAGGTCTCATCGTCGTCTCGGGAGGCCGAGCGACGCCGTCCGGTCTTCCTTCCTCGGTAGCGCTTCGTGGCTGGCGATGAAGTGGTGACGCTGCCCGTCTGCGCGCGCTTCCGCTCTTTCCGCTCCTTTCCGCTCTGTGGTGTCCTTGAATTGGCAGCAGCCGCCAAAACCGAGGACCTCAAATCTTGACAACTTCTGGATTGCCATGTAGCACCATGTAGTTCAAGTTATCCACATTGTGCACGTGTCGACCGACTCGAATCTAAATTCAAACAAAGCATTATCTGTGGCGCATGACGTGATGTGAAAATGGGTTGCACTATGTCGCTTCTAGTAACAAGTGCATCGCTTCTAGTAACAAGTGCCTTACTAGTAGTAACAAGGACGCTACTAGTAACAAGAAGCTACTAGGAGGAAGGCACTACCTGTGGAAACTTTAAGCAAAATTGACCGAGCCCAATGGCAAGGGAGCTCGAGCCCGCGGTGGAGTCGCTTCTCGGACATCCGATTCTGCAGTTGGGCCGCATGACTCGCCGCCTCGGCTTTTTGGACTCAAAAATTGGAAGTTTGCCGCCCCTTTTTCGGACTTTACGGCTAGTTGGAACGGCTAGTTGGAGGCCATTACTACTAACAAGAAGCTACTTAGTAGCTCCTAGCATCACTACTAGGAACAAGAAGCTACTAGTAGCTTGAAGCTACTAGATGGAAGCCATCGCTATTAGAATGGAGGCCAGTCCTATTAGTGGCTATAGACCGTATACACATGGATCTTCAAGCAAAGCGATGTTTTGTAATTAAATGACCAAGAGTCCGTCAACCGTCAACCGTCAGGACGGTGCCCTCAAAACACCCGTTCACCTGTGTCCGTCATAGCGGCCCCCCACCTGTTCGTCCAAAACACTTCGTAGATTGGTTTGGTAGGAGCAAGTAGCTACTAGGGGCTCCTGGCCGTACTACTAGGAGCAAGGACGCTGCTAGGAACAAGAAGCTAGAAAGCTGGCGACCATCAAACAGAGTCAAGTCACCCGTTTCGAGCTCCGTATTCTGCAAAAGCTCACCGAGCGCCGACGCTTGCGAGGCCTGAGACATCAGCTGCGAGCCCTGCGAGGCCTGCGAGTCCTGAAAAGCGACGCTCAAAACGTCAAGGATTCCGAGCCAGGACGCTAGTAGAAACAAGTGCATCGCTACTAGTAACAGGTGCCTTACTAGTAGGAACAATGTTTGCCATTAGAAACAAGAAGCTATTTAGGATGTTCCTAATAGCGATGCCCTTTGCTCCTAGTAAGACACTTGTTACTAGTAGCGATGCACTTGTTCCTAGTAGCGTCCTTGCTCCTAGTACTACGGCCAGGAGCCCCGTTCGTAGCGTCCTTTTTCCCTTTTTCCGTGAAGGATCAGGAGGAGATCAAGATCCGAAAAACCTCCAAGCTAGCGATGGCCTCCAACCCAATTGCAACCCTAGACCCGAAACTTCCAAAAATTGTTGTTGTTCCCTGACCTTGGCTTTGCAACTTGAGGCCAGAGGGGGTGAACGAAAGCTAGCCGGGCTTCCGGTGGTCTGCTGCTGGTGCTGCTGCTGCTGGTGCTGCTGCTGCCGCTGCTGCGCTGGGCGCTGCAGATGCTTGGTGTGCTGCAGCTGCTTGGTGGTCCCGCTCACCGCGCGCAGGGGGGAGTCGAACCGCGGGGGGGGGGGGGGGTCCATAAGATTGATTTAATCAATTATTTGAGGTTTCTGAGGTGCGTCCACCCCGTCACTTAACTTGCTAAAGCAAGAGCAACTCCAGCTAGCTAAGGCTAGCTTTCGTGACAAACGCAAAAAATGACTGTCTTCCATCCATGTGTCTTGGAAGGAGTCATGCCGCAGGAAACTTCGCAGCGGTGCCACCTCATCGACCTCCTCTTGGGAGGAGTCGACCAAGTCAGCCCACCGAGGCCGAGCCACTGTAGCCATGGCGGCGCAGCGACCACGACAAGCACAGCGACAAGCACTTGAGCCACCACAGCATGTGCAGAACATGTGCAAACAATAGCGGTGGCCTCCATACTAAAGGCATAGGTGCCCACAAATGCAAAAGCATAGGCCGCAAAAGCCGACAGCTTTTAGTGACTGCTGACATGCACTTGGCTCACACACTTGATGTCATATTTCTGCGCAAGACGCCTTTTCCAACCACGGGTACATCTGCTAAGCTTTAGGGCTTTACGATAAATATATCACAGCTCATGCATTGCACGGCGGCCACTGGGATCAAGTTTTGGCTGGTGTCAAGGCTGCCCGGCGGTGCGAGTTGGCTACCAGGCCTGCCATCACGCGGCGGAGAAACCGACTAAGAAAGACTTCGACAAACGTAGACAGGAACAAACTAATAGTGATGGCCTCCAACCTAGGAGCGATGGCCTTGAACCTAACAGCGATGGCTTCCAACCTAGCAGCGATGACCTCCAACCTACTTACTAGCGATGGCCTCCAACCCAGAAAGCGATGGCCTCCAACCTAATAGCGATGGCCTTGAACCTAACAGCGATGGCTTCCAACCTAACAGCGATGACCTCCAACCTACTTACTAGCGATGGCCTCCAACCTAATAGCGATGGCCTCAATACACTTGCGGCATGTCCCACAATGTGTTGCATATGTCAATGGCCTGCATTGCTATCATTCGCATCTGCATCCTGATCTTCATTCTCAGATTCCTCTGCATCTGCTTGAGCCCCTCCTGTTTGAAAGTGCGTGGCTAGCACCTGAATCTTTCGATTAATGGTCTCCTGGGTTTCCTCCAAACATTTCTGAGTTTCCGGTGTATGGTGTGCCGGGAGGTAGAAAAGAATGGGCTCAGCCCGCGTCCGAATAAAGTTCATCATGTTTCCGTAGTGCTCGGCAAGTCTCAACTCCAAAGACTCTTTCTCCGGAGCAGCTCCACTCGCGCTCGCAGTGCTCGGTCGTGGCTTGGGTGGCTTGGACTCGGGCTTCTGCGGCTTCGGCTTCTCTGTCAACTTGGGCCTTGTCGGCTCCATCTGCTTGTCCTTGTCTCTTCTCTCGTCTCCATCCTTCACGGCCTTGAAGGCTTTTGCTTCTTCTGGACGCGAAAGCTTTGGCTTGCTAGGTTGGTCTACCTGAAGCCTCCTTCTTGAGGCCAAATGTATCAACATTGAGCCGAGGAGATTTCGGCCTCTTTCGTTCAGATTCCCTCGGTTCGGGCGCTTTTCTTGAAGCTCAATGTCTTGGCGTGGCCGAAGCTGGGGCCGAAGCTGGGGCCTGGCAGGCCCTACCTTCGCCACCTTCGCCTTGACTCCCACAGCCGAGGCAGCGACGATGTTGGCCTTCCGGTCGGCCTTCCCCCCTCTCACTCCGATTGCCGTTGGCCTCGGCTTCTCCGCTGGTGGCTTCTTTCTCCGCAACTTTGCCTTGGCACATCACATGTGCTAAGCAGCTCAAGAATGGTTAAAGTTTACAAGGATGCATCGCTACTAGGAGCAAGGACGCTACTAGGGGCTCCTGGCCGTACTACTTGGAGCAAGAAGCTATTAGAAATTAGAAACAAGAATTCAATACAATTAGAATTAATAAGAAAGGGCAGGAGGCCATCGCTAGCAGGGGGTCGAATCACACAGCTTCTAATATGCATTGTCCTTTCTGTCCTTTTGACAGCTGTCAATCAGGAATGCTGACTGGTGGCGGATCTTTGGTGGCCGTTCCTCCTCCTCACCCCGCAAAGGCAATCCCAAACGACGGAAGGCCATGGCGGCTAAAATGCTCGGTATAAATGCGGAATCATTCGCGAAAACTGCTTGTGTTTTTGTTGCTCAGGTTGCACCTACCGCTTCTGCAAGCTTTGAGTTCTGTCTTGGCCCCGCCAACTCTTCAAAGCGTGTCAAAGGAACTAATGTAACTAGTGAGTGCATAGTGCTGACAGTATTGCTGAGTTGGAAACTAAAAAGCTTCTGGTGAACCTCTGAGACAACCTTCCCGGGAAATCAACTCCAACATGCGCGAAAAAAATGACATGCAGAACAATGGCCACCAACCTAATAGCAATGACCTGAAACCTAAGAGCGATGGCCTCCAACATAATAGGGATGCCCTCCAACCCAAGAGCGATGCCCTCCAACCTAATAGCAACCGCCTCCAACCTAATGGCGATGGCCTCCAACCTAATAACTAATAACGATAGCCTCCAACCTAATAGCAATAACCTCCAACCTAAGAGCGATGGCCTCCAACCTAAGAGCGATGGCCTCC